CATGGCGGGGATGTTCACCGGGCCCTAGAAGCGATCTGGCGGCAGCTGAGCAGCCAGAATTGCTTCTACTCTAAAGTTGGCTTTACAAGTTTAAACAGCAAAAGCCGCCGGGAGTCTGTTTAAACGGCCCTGATGCCAGCGACACACACTGGTCATGATGGGGTTAAACTTATATGGCCACATGAGCATATTAGGTCAATGGTATTGACCCATGATGTCGCCAGCATCACATCCCTTTGTTACATAAAGCTGTGGTGTGGAGATTGCCCATCCCACAGCTGACTGGTGGCGGCACTGGCAGTTCCTTCTGGGTTTGGATGAGTTCAGTTTTGGTCCCTATTTCCAGCTCAGTGATAGGTAATGACAGCTGGTGAAGCCTTATAGGAGATGTGTCAGATTAATTTTGCTGCATAGTAATATAATAGCCTTTCTCACCTGATCCCACAGTGCAATCTGCCTTGTATTCCACTTAGAGACTCCTGTTGTAAGTAGACGCTTCAAGTCTCCCAGGAAAACAACTCGAGTCATTTTGTGGTTTTTACAGGTTGCTGACTAGAAAGAAAAAGTAGCAAATGTTTACTGTCAATGTGTGAAAGAGGGCATGTCCTTCAAGTTACATTAGTAAGTTTTGTGAAATGTTTGACAACACCTAACCATAAATATATTCATGCTTTGCTATGCTGAAGTCTGATTTATGATTTCATTGCTTCTAGATCCTGTGCTTACTACCCTTTACCTCTTGTACCTAAAACCCCCAATCTCCATAACCCTTCCTTCACTCCCTTCCTTCACAGCTACCCCACTCCTATAACTCCCTGCTACCAGTATGTCTTCCCTCCTCCAGGAGAATTGATTTTATTGAACATTTCCTCAATGTGATGATGAGGGTGTTTTGTTAGGTATGCATGATACATTTTCAGGAGACAGAGACCAGTCACAGCTGAAACCTCTTGTTTACTTGTCCTGACACCTATCTTGGTGAAGTGTATATTGACATAAAAAAGGGTCAATCGGTGCTGATATCTAATGCTCACCAAGGGCACCCCAGACACTTCTAATCTAAAGTCACTTTGCATAGTGTTGGATTAACGGCGCACTTGATCAGGTGATTATTCATGTTAATGGGCCAGGTAGCTGGCACAATTGCCTGAGGATGGTTAGACTAGATCTACAGGTCTGACTACACTCTTTTTTCTTGGATTGACTTTAAGTGAGCTGAGTATAGTGAATAGAATTGTTGCTTTGAGACTCTGTGGGGTTGATTTACTAACCTTATAAACACACCACGAACGTGTATACACCTCTGCAGTGTGTTCCCTCCCAGCATGATCTATGGGTGGAATCTAAACACCTTTGTAATGTGTACACACCCAGCAGGTGTGTTGTGCAAAGCCCTGAAGGAATTCCAAGGTGATGTTGGGTAAATTAGCTCTATGTTGTGTTGCTTGCGTTGATGAATGCAAGGAATGTAAATGCATGAGCTATCCATTTTTGTCTAAACTGTGAAGCAGCATTATATATGCATCATGTGCATTATTTTTCCATATATGGCATTAGTGGAAATATGCTTTTAGAGACTTTTTGGTTGATAAATACGTTTTGCTGTGTGAAAATCACACACACCTGGTGTGTGTGTGTGTTTAGGTTAGTAAATCACCCCCTGTATGTCTGTATTGCTGTTTGCACCACTGAAAAAGCTTGACAAACTAAACATTCCAACAGCAAATTAAGAACAAATGGCTACTATTGGTCTCCATATCAAAGTGTTTGAAAAAGAAAACTGCCTGGTGCCCCCTAGAAACTAATCCGATTCAATTTTGTACTTAGCTTTGACAAAGAATTTAATAATTTAATGCGGCCGGTGGCTGCTTTTCAGAGTACAAAGGATACAGCAGGGGATTCGTCCATCAACGCTTGTAAGCATTCATGGAGGAATCTGTTAATTTTCTTTTCCTTCAGCTCGTGGGTTGAGCGAAAAAAATAGAACAGTGTATGGCCAACTTAACACTTTCAGGAGTGAAATAGAATGTTTTCATAGATATCTGTACATAAGACCAAAAGGAAGGATAATCAAGGAGGAAAGAGGGACAGAGGGATTTGGTTCCAAATAAGGGACAGTTGGGAGGTATGCCTGTGACACATGTGGCAGCCGACATTCAGCTTCACTAAGTGCTCTTTACTCTTTTTGACCTAGATCTCAGGCAATTCAAGCTCCCATTTTAATCCTGGTGAGTGTGGTGTCTAAGAAAGAGATGATATGAGTGCTGATTCCCATTGGGATAATCTGTCAGGATGGCTAGCACAACCAGGGATCTTATCCGGGGCTGACATTTTCCTTCCATCTTCCAAAAGCAGTGCGGGTTCCAGGGCAAGCATGGAATTACAATATATAGGTCGACTCTGCCCTGGCACTAGCATTTTTTACAAGGGTCAGTTAATAGAAGCCTTCAGTGCTGGATGGTAGCCTCAGCTGTTACAAGCAAAAGCCACCCTTTCACATTTCCTTTAAACTTTAAGAGAACATTGATGTACTTGTAGCACTTGAAGAAAGATGATGCTTATCTTGTGGAATTGTAAAAATGCTTCAATACCTTGTGCTTTTAGAAACTACCAACCATATTTCACAGATTTGTACAACAATTAAAAGAATGCACAACAACTTCAATGCTACACACAAAAGTATCAATAACATAAAAGTTAACAGTTTACAAGATGAAAAAAGTAAATTGTAAAGTGAATAAAGCCACGTGTATGATAACTGATCACCTGCAGCACTCTCCCTGAACGAGGTTCCAGCACACGTAACTTCTTATCTTTGCAGGTGGTCGCCAATAGACTCCCATCTGTGTTAAATGACATGCAAAGGATGACATCCGTGTGACAGTCTATCATTTTCATTGCTTCCCCATCATCCAGATTCCAGATCAGTATCTGCACATAGAAGTTTTCATTAATACTCTCATCTTCCCAACCACTGCCTTTCATAATACACTGCTAATTCACAAGTAATGCCCACTTAGCTATCTGACAGTCCGTGGGCAAAATAACTTTTGGGGCACTGGCTACCTAAGTGACAACACATTTGTTTGCCTCCAGATATACTAAAACCTGTTGTGTGCTCCTGTGAAACTCAGACATTGGGTTCCAATGACATACATAAGTGTGTTCAAGAGATTAAAATGTGTGGCTCCTCTCATAAAGAACTTTTCAACAAGTAGGACAATCTCTGAGTGTGATGATCATTGCCTATAATGGTCAGAAGCTCTTCTGTATCATCACCCTTAGGAAAGCCTAAGGGCTCATAAAGACAAGCTTAGTTTTTCTGCATTAGAGTTTGCAGATTTTGGCTTACTTTAAAGTGTTTGTATAGCCAAAAACGTTTTATAGTTTTGGATAGAGTAGGGAAGGGTTACACTTTTTGCTGTCTGTATACATTTCCCTTTTGCTTACTGTCCCAGAAATGCAACAGGAAATTAGTGGAAATCTCCCAAAATGAGGGAAAAACCCTCTTAGACATATGTCCACATCAGGATAGCCCCCCTCACCTCTTCCTCTGAGAACAATTCTAAAACTTGGTATTTCACCTCACTTTCTTTCTTGGTAAAAGTGGTCACCTGTACAAATAGAGGGGCAAATCTCCCCAATGTTGACTGCAATAAAAACTTTCTTGCTAACTCTTCTCCACTCTATCCAACACTAAAAAAAAAGCATTACCTTAAAGTGACATTAAACCCTCAGATTTTTTAACATAAAACAATACTGTAATGTGTGCCTTACTGTAATCCATGGTTGTATCCCTTATCTTTGCTGCTCTTCCTTTTAAATCTGTATCTCTTCTCATGCTGGGCAGAACTTCTGTTTTGCAGCAGACTGCCTTGTCTCTGAAATGGATACATGGCGTCTGTGTGCAGGTTTGCAACCTCAGCCAGCACTACAGGAAGAGGCACTCAGCTAGAAAGGGAAGTTCTCCCCAAGCATGAGAAGAGATAAGGATTTAAAAGGAAGAGCAGCAAAGAAAAGGGAAACTACAATGGATTACAGTAAGGCACACATTACAGTATTGGTTTATGTTAAAAAATCTGAGGGTTTAATGTCACTTTAAGATATACTTTCATTTCATTGTGTGGGTGATTGTTCTGAGGCTGTGTTTGACCTGCTAATTCTTTGGATGCAACTGATCCCACTGAGATCTGTTCACGTTGCAGGTAAAAGCAGCTAAAATGCAGCCACTGCATTCGATTGCATGAGTCTGAGTAGTGCTGCATTAAAATGCAAATCACCTTGTTTATATACAAAGCCTGTCTATTTGCCAAATCAGGCGGTCACAGTTGGATTAGGGCAGTTCTGTATGATTGTAGGCCCATTTATGACTCTGGCCAAGCCTGCACAGGAGAAAATTGAATGGCTGGTTTGGATCTTACCAACCACTATTGTATTCCCCAGGACACCTGATGTTTTCCTTCCTTCATAAAACAAACATACAAGTTCACCCAATCCAAATGTGTATGTTTGTAGAAAGCTTTTTGTTAGAAAGATCATTCAGTGACTGGGTTGTTCACATATGGCCAGATGCTGTCTAATGTATTAAAGCAGGTGAACATGGATCTCTATTACCACAGACAATGCTGCAATCAGCCCGGGATAGGGCCATGTATGACCACCCATGGGACTTATACATTTGTACCACTGAAGACTCCTGTATTGAATTGTAATGAAACAAATGTGTAACCCAATGCCATACCCAAGTGCTATTGTACTGCAATGCTATCGCAATGTGCCGCAATAGCATATCGTCCAATAGTTTGCAAGGAGAGAACAAGCAAAGCTGGCTTAGATTTAGGAAGGTCTGGTAGGCAGGGATTATAATTCTAATTTTTGGTTCTCTAAGTATTTTAGATACAGGTCTAACCCAGTGTATCACGCCCCAGAGGATCAGAGCTTGAGATGGCCGACCATGGAACTAAACATCATGTAAGAAAGTCAGGGGTATCTAGTGAAGATGTATGTACTATCATCAATGGATTCCTAATAGGCTCTACCAGCCATTTTGGAAAGAACGGCATGCTGGCATGATCCCTGCTGTGGCAGGGTTTCCACAACTATTTAGGGAAAGATACAATTTTCTTTACCAGTACAGGTGGTACTTGGACACAGTAAGGCACATAACTGACCAAAGGACAAGAAACACTGCTGTACCCTATCTAATTCTACCACATCAGAATTCCAAACGTGTGAAAGGTAACCTCTAAATACAACATTTTTACTCTGGATTTGGTGATTTGTTTTAAGCTCATCATGCTGACCTTATAGTCATAGCCTGAGCTGAACAATATGTTGTTGGCAGTAGGATGCCACTCTATGAGCCCCACTCTTCTGCTGTGTCCATACAGATCCAGCACTGCTTCATTCATGTTCTTCTTGAGCCCACCATCCGGGATTTCCCATATCCGCACCTTGGGGAAGTACACCATGTTATTGCACCATTAAAATATCTTCCATAGTTCTATACACATATACTGCTATTTACACCAAAACAGAAAAAAAAATGACATGGTAAAATTTAAACAGCACATTGAGTGTTTATTCTGGTAAATGTATTTAAAATGTTTTTACTAATAGATGTGTCATATAATAGCAGATTCTAAATTACACAATATTTATCGGCGGTGCACCCTTCCCATTAAATCTACCTCTAATTCTGAGGATGCTTAAAGATAAACTCCAGACAAAAATAAAAGCTACAATATAATGCAGATCTGTATTCATTAATAAATCATTAGATGTATTTTTGTTTTATAAATGCAAGCAGTGTAAGTACGTGAATATGACTTTGTATCGGTCTCCTGCAATCTGCTTAAAGCAGAGCTCAGACGGAGAGAGGGAGAAACAGTACAAAGAATCAATAAGTTGTGCTGCAATTCTCATGTGCTAATAAGGAACATGCAAATAAGGGGAGAGAGCAGAGTGACATTCGGATGAGCTTATCAATCTGCTGCTTCTCGTTTCACTGTCCAGTCACAGGTTGGGGAAGGGACCAAGAGCTGTAATTTACTGCAGCAAAGTAAAATCAGGTTTCCTACCCTTCCAGACAGTGCTGTGTAGCAGAGCTGTGTGCATTTTAGAAATGGATGGATATAAATATAAAACCTTTGGCAGGTAAGCAGCTCCCATACATGTATTTAATCTGTGTATTTAGCTGTTTGTGTGGAGTTCAGCTTTAAACATCTAGCTTGCCCATTCCAAGTGCCTTAATTATGAGACTGCCAGGGCTACATATAGGAGTGCCTACAGATAGGTTATTGCACCAATATCTTCTCTCGCCATAGTAGTAAGAGCAGGCACTCCAGCTGTGGTCCTCGTTAGAACCTGTGTTACGTGTGCAGAGAATTTAGTTTATTAGGCTGTCACTGTACAGGGCAAGCTACAGCAGCTGTACAACTTTCTCTCCTGTGATCAGGAAGTAATTGCCAGGGGGAGAGAGAAATGCAGGTAGCAAAGTAGCGCAGAGCTTCTGGCTCTCTCTGTTGAGTGTCTGTCACATGGCAGCTGACAGCTGCCTCCTTCTTCCTCATTTCTGCTGAGCTAGGTAGAGGGAAGAGGGAGGGAGAAGACCCAGTACAGATGCTTCTCAAAGGGAGTCAGTCAGCCTGATGTACAGATCTGTGCCTGGTCTGACCAAGCAGAGAGATCTTCGGCTAATATCTGCACCACTGTAATGGAGATATTAGTTAACAGGGCTCAGAAATTGCAACATACTTGCGACAAACTGCAATTAGCAATTTTCAAGGTTTTGGTGCACATATCGCAAATCATCTTCAAAGTAGGTGCACTACAGGTGAAACTCGAATAATTAGAATATCGTGCAAAAGTAATTGCAGTAAGTGCTGCAAAAGGGGCCCAAACCAAGTACTGAGTACATATGCATTCAGAGGTCCGATATTGTTCTATGTACAATCCTTGTTTTATTGATTGCATGTAATAATCTACTTTTTTGAGGTTGTGGATTTGGGGTTCTTTGGGTTTTCATGAGCTGTAAGCCATAATCCTCACAATTATGACAAATCACGGCTTGAATTATCTTGCTTTGCATGTAATGAGTCTATCTCATATATTAGTTTCACCTTTTAAGTTGCATTAGTGAAATAAATTAACTTTGCACGATATTCTAATTATTCGAGTTTC